TTCCATTTTTTTATATAGTCGCTGTAGTTCTTTGAACCTTATTCTCATTCTCCTTCCAATCTCTCCTTGGAGTTTATGCTGCAAACTTCGGAGTGCTCCATTTTCTTTACATTTTCATGTTGTGTGGACAAGCTGGTGAAGAGATGTTATTTTCCTCAGGATTGTGCGAATATTTCATTTGAATTGAAGGCTCATAGGCAGTCAGATTTCAGACAGCGATTTTCATGGGTAGTAGAGACCAAGTGACAAGTGAAGTGTAAAGAATGGCTAAATGAAAGTCAGAAGTCATGAACCAGAAGCCCTGCAAACGGCATCTGGAACTGGTGGTGAAGGTGATTACACTTAATTAGATCCACTTGTAACGATATCTTAGGTGACAATGGAGAAAACTATAGCACAGAATGGTGCGAATAGGTGATTTGGGATTGAGCGGGAGAGCTGCAGCACTAGAGGTTAGGACACAAATAAGGACGGCGAGTGAAGCCACAATGATGGAACATAAAATTGGCCTTTACTTGTCCCTGATAAGTTGTAAATCTGTGCTAACGATGACACTTATTACCGAAGATGCTGAATACGATGCCGGCGAAACGTTTGGAAATGTACCAAGTCAACGGTCCGATTCTGGAAATCACGAATATTATGACAGAGGACGCAGGACTGGGCACGTTCCACAATGTCTCCTTGTCGCTCCGACCAAGTTGTGAAAACAAAGCCAATCCAGCACTATCTCTGATGTTACCCAAGATAGTAAGGTCGATAAAAACCATCAGCTTTGAAGTGAAGTCTTTCCTAAAGAAGATATGTAAATATTAAGTCTATGAATTAAATAGCCAATACAGATAAATCACTAAATATAAATGCTAACATCGGCCTGAAATCCCTCAAAATTTTGGTTTCTCTATAAAAAAAACAGACAAATGTGAAATAGTATCGGCATAATAACTAGTTCACTAATAAAAATACACTGCAGGGTCTTGCAACAGATAAAGATGATATTAATCATAGTAAAGTCAACGCAAGATACCAATATAAAAAAGGGAAATTGAGGGCAAAAAAAGTATAGGGAACAAAATACGGACAAGAAAATGGCGCTAAACCAACCATCATGGTCCATTGAGATCTTGGGAAAATCAAGATTGTCCTGTTGGAGGCCATCTGGATAAGGAGAAGTTGTTTTGCTTGCATTGGGCGAGACTCTGTGCCCATTTGAACGAAGCACCTGGGGATGCTGTTGACGAATCATAACATGCGTCTGCTTGTCAATCGAATCAGCCAACAGGCCAGGACGACAGTGTGCATAGTATTCCTGAGCAGACCGATTAGTCTGTAAAAGGCGACGTAAACGGCGCACGTCAGGTCGATGCAACCAGTCAGTATAGGCTGGGTTGCGCAACACTACACGGGCTAGCCAGAGCACGGCAGCTGCCTTTTGTGATTCGCGTTTTAAGCTGACTGCATGACTATGCATCCCAGCTTCAAGAAGGAATCTAGACATGTATTGTACAATAGCGTTGTGTGCATCGAGAACCTAAATAAAACCGACGAGTAAAGATTACAAAAACAGTAGGCAGAAATGAAAGGATTATCTAGGATGCAATAATAGTAAAATTGTGATAGAGGAAAATAAAAACACAAGCGCGTCCAAAATTAAGTATCATAAGGTCATGAGAGACTGGACGGTTAATATTCCTGCAATGATATGATTAGGTCTCACGAAGATATGGAATTTCATGTGGCCTTGCCTCCTAAAAGGTATTCTCATTTAGAGTGGCCTGTTGGTTGGACCTTGTCTAGATCTACTACTATCAAAACTATCACGGATGCCACTAGATCACAGGGCAGACGCA